AATTGATGTTTATTTCTACTCTATATTTTTGTTTCATTTCAGTACCACCACTACGTGCAAGTTCGACTGATATTCATCCGAATGCAAAATGGACTCAGAATGGTGTCACTGTTGCTGGAGGAAATGAAGAAGGCGATGGAATCAATCAACTCTCTTATCCATACGGTTTGTATGTCGATGATGATCAAAGTATTTATGTCGCTGATTACTTTAACCATCGTATTGTGGAATGGAAGTCTGGTGCAACGAGTGGCCAAGTAGTTGCCGGTGTAAATGGGCAAGGAGATGAAGCTAATCAATTAAATTTTCCCATGGATGTAATTGTCGACAAAGGGGGAGATAGTCTCATCATCTGCGATCGTTGGAATAGAAGAGTAGTTCGATGGCCTCGTCGAAATGGTATTAGTGGAGAAACAATCATCGCGAACATCGCTTGTGTCTCTTTGTCAATGGACGAGAATGGATCTCTTTATGTCATCGACTGGGAAAAACATGAAGTGAGACGATATAGAATTGGTGATGCTGAAGGAACAGTAGTTGCAGGTGGCAATGGAAATGGAGATCGTCCCGATCAACTCTCTCTCCCCTACTACATATTTGTCGATCGAGATCATTCAGTTTACGTGTCTGATTGGGGAAATCATCGTGTGATGAAATGGGAAAAAGGTGCAAACCAAGGCATTGCTGTAGCTGGTGGCCAAGGACAAGGAGATAGTCTTAGACAATTGTCATGGCCTCGAGGAGTTGTTGTCGATCAGTTGGGCACTGTCTATGTTGCTGAGGAAGGGAATCATCGAATTATGCGTTGGCCAAAAGGGGCCACACAGGGAAGTGTTATTGTTGGTGGAAACGGTCAAGGAAAACAATCAAACCAACTCAATCAGCCCATCGGTTTATCATTCGATAGATACGGCAATCTCTACGTCGTCGATCGCGATAATCATCGAACACAAAAATTCAATATCGATTCAAATGCATAAGAGATTTATGCCTTCTTCGAACGTTTTCATATACTTGTCTATCCTAAAAGCTATTTGCACTTCCTTGGAATTCTTAAAAATTGAAATAAATATCATCCCTTACCTATAATTATACATGTCCTGTACGATGAAAAGATTGGAAAACAGGAAAACGTGAAGCACCAACTGAGGCTGAGACATGACTGACTTCCGCGAAAAAGGAAAACTTGGAATATTGGAATGCTTGAAATTCTTAGGTCTGAATGTGAGATTCGTAATTTTGAAGATGAATATTTTATTTGACACGTGTTTCGACCCAAATGGCCTTTTTCAAAATATCTTAAAAATTATACAAATCATTTAAAGAACAATAATAAAGAATATGACAAAAAAATTTAGATTAAATAGAAACAGTCAGTTATACACTGTACAAGTAAGAATAGTGAAAGGAAAGAGATGAATCACACTTCTAAAAGTGTCTATACAGCTGAATGTAGATGAATATGAATTATACATGGTTTATACATTGTATACAAGCTTTAACCCTAGTAGTACCAGCCTGAGTCACTTTTGATCCGTACTCAACATTTTGAAAATACGCTGAAAATATTTTGCTACTTTCTGGTTTCTGGAAGCAACTAGCATTTCTTATGAATTGATATATATATATTGTTGAATGTAACAAGAAATTCATTTCTGTTTTTTTTATATCATTACAAGCAATTAGAGCAATCCTGTCCTCAGTATGCAACAAACATATGACAAGAAAGGAATACAAATTAAATTTTCATTCTATAATTTGATGACTCATTCACTATTCTGACTGAATATTTCCAATCCATTAAACCAAAGGAAGCTGTCGACATTGTTAATCAAATGTATCATAAATATATGGTAAAACGAGATTGTTTCAAAAGTATTTCTGCACTTTATTATCTGCAGGTAAAAATAGGTACAAAGCGGTGGCCGCGTTGTATCTTTTATTGGGTGATAGACATTGCTGCTATAAATGCTCTGATCGTCTGGAAGGCGAAAAATCCTCAATGGAATCAAAATAAAAGATATCAACGCCGGTTATTCCTGAAAGAATTACGACTAAGTTTAGTATCACATCTTCTGGATTATCGCTCAAACACTTTAAAGTTTCTAAATCAAGATATTCAAAATGCTTTAGCTGTTATTGTTTATCCTGTGATGAAGAACCCCCAAGAAGCAAATGAAAATCCTGCACAATTAAAACGAAGACGATTTTCGATTTGTAAAAGTTTCCAGGACAAAAAAAACTTCGATTAAATGTTAGACGTGTTTCGAAGGCTGTATGTAAAAACGCCGAAAGAAAAAATGTCAACGTGGGTGGTAGGTGTTTGGGTGTGGGCTTAAGACGATATCAACTACGCACCCACACCCTTCTATGAAGATGCAATAGAAAGATGATTTTCTGTGAATGATTTTTGGTACATTTCGAGTGTTTTCCCGAATAGCGGAAGTGCTTTTGAGTACTCGCCCATATTCGAACATACGAGTCCAATATTACTTTAAGTAGTGGCCGAATCAGAATGATTTAGTGAGAGAATCTTTTCGAAGATCTTAACGGCTTTTTGGTAAAATATCAGTACTTTTGCATATTCACCCATAGTATCGTACAACGAACTCATATTATTGTAGCATTGAGATAAATTTGGACGATTGAATGAAAGTGTTCTCTCACAGATATCAAGTGCTTTCTCGAAATATGATAATGCCTTCGAATAGTCTGCGCATTTTTGAAAGATTGAACTCGTGCTGTTGTAGGATGAAGCGAAATAGAGATGATCTTGAGGAAGAATATGTTGCCGTATTTTAAGTGTTTAGATCAGGATGATTTTCATCGAATGTATTATTTAAAACCTCAATTGCTTTTCTCGAAATAAAAGTGCATTTCAGTAGTCATGAAGGTCCTTATATATTAAAATTATGTGACTATGAGATTGAGTAAAATCAGAATGATTTGGTGGTAAAACTTTTTCACGAATATCCAATATTGTCATATGACACGACAAAGTGCTTTCTGATACTGTCCTACATCTTTATAGCTCAAACCAATGTTGTTGTAGCAAGCGATCAAATCGTGAAGATTCGAAGCGTATGTTTGTTGAATAATATCAAGCGCTTTTGGAAGACCGTCGAGTACTTTGTCACTTTCGCCCATCGTTTTAGACATAAGACCTATATGAGTTTGAGAATAAGCTAAATCCGGATGTTTAGAATGTAGTGATTTTTTCATAAATTCTTGGACGTTTCTAGTGAATGAAAGAGCTTCTGAATAGTTACCTTTTTTATGTTTAATACTTCCAAATTGATGATAAACAATGATTTTCTCATGTGTATCGATTTCTCGTTCAAGTACTACTTTGTAAACTTGTTCAGCTTTGTCAAAAGTTCCTAATCTGATAACTTGTCCAATTGACTCCATCCAGTGATGCTCTCAAATATCTCCTCTAGTATTCTTGCTTTGAGAGCACTAAGTTGCGTGTCATTGTCTACTGTCAGTGTAATTTTCACTTTCCAAATTCGATCATTATCTCCAATTGGAAGAATATCACGTATTCGAAAAATACTATGCATTGAAAATAAAATTTCTCGTTCAGAATCGTGCAAGTAAGTGACACTGTCAAGAAATACAAATGCAGTGATACAATTGATGTATCGACCGTGGTTTCAAATAAAATAACTGTCAACTCCAGATCGGCTAGAATGCTTTCAGCAAACATAGAAGAAACATCTTTATCAACGCTTATCGATAAGAAACTGTTGAATGATATTAATCCACCTTTCATTTTCTTTAATTTTTCGAAATCCGTTGGTGACATGTCTTGACCTCTGTATACAATAAGTGACTGTCCTTGACTATCAGTGAATTGTTCAGAATGAAGCTCTCCTATTTGTCGATAGAGATCTTGAATAAAGAAGCCTAACTTAATAATGGTTTCAACTTCTTGAGTACGTAGAGCACGATTGAGCATACGACATAAAAAAGAATCCGAAGTATACCACCATATTGATAAATGATCACGGTATTCACGTTTGAATTTATCGATATTATTTAATTCACCAAAATTATTATTATAACAATACGTAGCGAAATTTTTGATAGACTCTTTATCGTATTCTGAATCAAGTAGAATATCTTTCCGTAATTATGTGTACATAAATGATTGATCGAGTTGATCTAAGTTAAGGATTGATGCACCATCGATGGTAATAAAACTGATTGTACTTGAATTTTCATCGTTTTATCGTATGATTGATTTAATTGAATCAATAATTGGAGGAAATTTGAGGAAAATACTTTTAATTTTATACCATTCTTTTGTTCATTGTTCACCGGTTGTCTCAGTTTGAGAGAATAGATAGATCGAATCAAATTATGGTGTATCATGGATACGAGGAACTAGATATTGATCAATGTCATCGGTGATAATCAAAAGCACTTTCTTCTAATTGATACCAGTGAGAAAATCCACCCATTGATCAGCATCTTCGAACAGATGAATATCATTGATAATACTTCGCAGATGTGTTATCAAAATATGATAATGATTGTCTCTTTTAATAGTTGTTGAATTAAACCAGATGAGAAAAACATTTGATCCTATTACTGTATTTTGATCATCAGACGAGCCTGTTATGATTTTGTTCATAATGTGTGTTGATAAGATTGTCATTGAATATGAAGAGACTGAATGAGCTGTAGCAATAATTAAAAAGAGGAAGTTACTCAAAACAGTTATTATATTTTGTCAAGGACGATGATATGTTCTATTTTCATCAAACGAACTAATTACTTCTTAATAGCGTAGATATTTTTTCGCTTCTGAAGTTGATCACGGAGGTATCGATGCGTATCATTTTCCCAATTAGAAAATTTTTTATTTCTTACGTTCTGTTATAGCGGAGATATTCTTCCTTTGAAAAAAAAAGCACAACTCTCTCACCCTTAATCTCAAAACGTGGTTAATCTTTGACAAGATTTTCTTCTTTCAGGTCAATCATACGTAAAGTTTAAAGTTGTTGAATGCCAATGACTTTGAAAGGTACTAATTGTGGATATTGTCCTGTTAACCAAGAAAAGTAAAACATTTCATCACCAATTAAAACTGGACATTTCGGTATGATACCATTATCATTTCCCAGATTTAAATCAATGCGTTTGATTATCTTTCCAGTATCCATGTGAATTGCTGTGATGAAATACAAGATATTGGATTTGTGTGAATATGATGAACCAGATACAATATAAACAATTCGTCGTTTCGAATTCATTGTAATACAAAAGGAAGCTAATTCGAATTTTTTCATTTCACTTGATGTTGCCAATTCACTTGTCCATAATGTTTTTCCTCGACTGTCGATAGCAAATGCCAGTGGCATACTGGACATATAAACTGTACCATTCTCATCTATAGTAGGTGGTGTTATATCGGCATTGCTAGCAATTTCTGGAGGTGCAACCCAATTCCAACGTAATTTTATCTGTTGTATTGATACATCATGTGATGAAACAAGAAATTTCGACGGTGAACTAGACATATTTTGCCATGGTCTCACAATAATTTGCTGTTGTCTATCTAGAACAAAGTCTCGACCAAAGCTCCCTAACTGTGTAACATTATTGATTTGATTTTCTCCTTTTTGATCAAATTTCAATAGATGATCATCACCACCTATCCAAAATATGTTACCCATGTTTAAATCCCATCTATAGTTTCCATGTATTCCAGCACCGAAGAAATGTCTATTCACCCACAACAAGTCCAAAGTTGTTTTGTTTAAAACAGCTGGGACCAATTCAATTTCATTACCTTTGACAGATGTAATTAGAAGATCATATTCTTCATTAAGAGCTAATAGTGTTTTGATGTCCACAAACAATTGAAAATTTCCGACACATTTTTGAAGAGGATGTGATGTTTGAGCATTTGTCACACGACAAATTTTCGCTGTAACGATTGTATCACCTGCCCATGAGATAGTATAAAAGAGATGTCCTTGACGATCAGAAACAATATTGGAAATACCAACCGATTCCATGTCTGGTACAGATTCAAGAGGAAGTTTCCAACGAACAATTCCATTTGTAGTTAGACACACACTCTAAGTTAAAATGTGTCGGATGTGTCGTGATTCACAACACATTTCACGACACATTCGAGCACGACACGAGGTGCTCGTTACGACACATTTTCTCCAGCAAGCGTACGACACATTATCCCACGACACATTCTGAAATTAGTGTTCGAATCTGGGTTTCACCGTATTCATAATTTTTTTTTCTTTCGTGCATTACATCTGTCAATATTTAATTAGCGCAATTAGCATCAGTGTTTGATGCAACAGTGTAAACCAGTCAGATCTTGGTCGGACTGTTGCCAGGTAGACCTCTATTTAGGTGAGGTCATTATTTCTCGAAATATTTACAAGAAATATATAATCGAGAAACATGTTATATAGAATGGTGCACGAAAACTTATGATTTTCATGTGATGGTTCAGATCGATTATATACAGATATACACACAGAACAAAATCGGTGAATGAACAGTCGTCATATATGTACAGAACGGTTAAAAATACGACACATAAATGTGCGACACATTTTCTTGCTGGAACCCACGACACTATAATTTACGACGGAAAAAGTCGACGCATTTTAACTTAGAGTGCACCATAAAATCGGCTAAATGAAGAAATCGTTTTATTGAATTGGATTTATATTTGAAAATGTGAAATGTCTATTAGAAAGAAGAAACGCACTTGCCTAAATGAGATCTTGTTTCACTCAGAAAAAAATAAAGACCACCGTTGATTCCAGCACCTTGACCAAACTGAGTAGTGTCTTGCGATGTTAAATTATATTCATAAATCCATGGTATTTCCGAATAATTGGTAGCCATGGATGGGACAATACGATGTGTATTTTGAGAATTACCCTCTTCATTAGACCATAGTGATTCAGGATCATCATCATTAGTTATAGCATCAACAATCGTAAATTGCTGCAGAATGACAAAAATTAACCATATAAATATATAATAAATCATATATATCTCTCTCGCTATAAAGAATAAAACTAAACCGATAAAAGACCGTTTTCTCTTTTCTATTATGAAACGAGTCCCATCTGTTGATTCCCATATGATCTATTATTTCTTCTTTTTTCTGCATATGTTTGTCATTTGTTGAGAATCTATTATCTATTTCAAATTAAAAGAGATGGTCAGTATTGGTCGAATATCTCGACAAGGATAAAAGCAAGAGACTTACGGTTTTTTTATTCGATAGCCCTATATGAGGCGGGTGTGTGTATGGGTATGTTGTGAAGGTAGTGTCATTTCTTCACCCACACCCACACCCACATGTAGAAATCTCATACTGCATTTGTAAGAATAAAATTTCTTTTCAATGATAATATTGACCAATGAAATAAAACAAAGATCAGAAAAGAATTTCATAGTTGAATATTTTCTTTGGAATTGTTTTGTGTTTTCCTTGAAGATATATTACTTTTTTTTGTATCATTCGAGGAACAGTTGCTTATCAACTTCAATCTTCTTTTAATTTTCCTACTTTTCCATAAAAATTTCTTTATTTGATACTTTTGAAGATTTCAAATCGAGATACATCAAACAACTGATTAACTCATTTTAATTTATTTTACTATTTAAATTAAAATGATCGATAATTAACTCTGTATATAATCATTATCGAAATATATTTGTTTGAAAAAGATTTTTCTAAACAATCCTAACAAAATATCACATCGCAATACAGAACGAAAATATCATCGAATAATAAAAAAATTAATGTGAAAATAGGAATTTCTAAATACAATTTCTTCAAAATTATTAATTGTCTGAACATCTAAATAAAATATTGAAGTCTCGTTTTAATGGAAATGGTCTATTGATGATAATGAAAATAAAGATGATGAAAATGTTCAAAGAATTTCTTCTCGTTCTTCATATAGTTTTGGTTTTTTCATTTGATGTCGAAAATCATATGACGAAATAATGGATTTGAACGATTCATTATTTTTAATTGTTTAACTTAATTTCAGTGAAATCATTTCATCTTTAATGTTATTACAAAAAAACAAAGATGCAGACAACCAGCATCCACAACAAACTTTAAATTTATTGCTCAAAATGAAAAATTTCAAGCTGAATTTGAATAATTTGATGTTTGCAAAGAAGTTTTTCGTATACGATGTGAGCACTTGGAAAAACCAAGAATTGAAAAGTGACTATAGCAACAAATTTATATTTAAAAAGATCCTGAATATTGAGGCAATGCACTAGAAATGATCAACAATTAATCTCCATAGTGTTCTTTGAATATCGAAGAATAACTATCTTCGCGAATTCCTTTCCAATACTTTAACCTAAAATAGTCATATATTAATTTATGGATACTAGATTCATCGGAAATCTTTTCCCCTATGGACGTTGGTAATGATGCATATTATTTTTACTACATCAGCTATAGTGTTCGAAATAAAAAAAGGAATAAGTGGATGAAACTACAATCGATGAATCGAAAAACTCCCTAGTTTTTCGTGTTACAGATATTATAAACCACATTAGATTATAAATTACCTTTTATTCTCAACGAATAGAAAGTATACATTATGTACCGAAAAGAAAAATCAAGTAAATACGGGTTACAACGATCATAATTCTGTAAAGCGGGTCGTTTTGCGAGTCAGTTTTGGTGTTCTGTTGCTACCAATGTCCTTCATCCAAGAAAAAAATCTCTAGCCAATTTATTATATCTGTGAAAGAATGCCAGTATGAATTTTTTCTCGTCTGAAGCACACCGATAGTAGCAAAACGACAAAATACTCGCAATGATCGCTATTTTTCCATCCAAATAAAAATTCATGTATAGTACATTTCTTGTATTGAAAACCTACATCAGGCTAATGAACAACACTTTTTAGATCAGAAAAAAATTAAAAAAAAAATCAATATTAAATGTTTTCGTCAAATTCAAGATGAAATTTATCATTTAAGAGTGATGTTCATAGAATAAATTTAGTCGGGTGCGACGGATGGTACTAAACCATGTTTCGTTAGGTGGAAACCTTCGTATCCGTTGGCTGCAACATTGTCGCACTTCTGGCGATACGAAACAAGACCACCAACATAGGCCATAAAAACTCTTGGCTTTCCCTGTATGTTCGCCCCTATATACCATGACTTGGCAGTAGGATATAATGTAGTATTGGCGATCTCATTAACATGGTGTACCCATACATCTTCCGCCTCGACAGTAGGCTCAATCGTGTCGAACTGATGCTTTTGTAAAAAGTCGAGACATTTTCCTAGCCATTCAACGTGCTGCTCAATGGACACCATCATGTTGCTTAATACCGATGGGCTTCCAGGACCGGTGATGAAAAAAAGATTAGGAAAACCGGCAGTCATGATACCAAGATAAGTGCGTGGGCCTTCTGCCCATTTTTCTCGAAGCGTACAACCCAGTCGACCTTGAATATGGATGTCAAATAAAGCTCCTGTCATAGCGTCAAAACCCGTAGCGAATACGATACTATCGACTTCGTATGTCGTGTTCGTAGTTCTGATTCCTATCGGAGTAATTTCTTGAATGTCCTCTTTCTGAAGATCAACTAACGTGACATTATCACGATTGTATGTCTCGAAATAATGACTATCAACGCAAATACGTTTAGTACCTATAGCGTAGCCGTGTGGTACCAAAATCTCGGCAATAGCAGGATCTTTGACAATTTCGCGGATTTTTGAGCGTACAAATTCTGCAGCTGTGTCGTTAGCTTCTTTATTGACTAGTAAATCATTGAACGTTCGTAGAAATGGTAAGCCTCCTTTTCGCCATAGTGCCTCATATGCCTGCTGTCGTTCCTCTGGAGTGGCATTTGTTGCCGACTTATTAAGACACATAGGGTAAAGTTCAGCACCAGAAAATGATTCCAAAATCCTACGACGATGTTCCTCATAATTCTCGTTCCATAATTCTTCGTCTTTTGTATCAAGTGGCACATTGAAAGCTGGAACACTGAAATTCGGTGTTCGCTGGAATACATAAAGATGAGCCGCTTGTTCGGCGATGACTGGAATACTTTGTATGCCAGAGGAGCCTGTCCCTATGACGGCCACACGGTAATTATTGAAGTTGACAACTTCATGCGGCCATTGACCAGTATGGTAGATATTACCTTTGAAAGTATCGAGTCCTTTAGTATCAGGAATATTTACCTTTGACAAACAGCCTGTTGCCATAATGCAAAATTTAGCTGATACACGATCTCCACGATCTGTTTGAATATTCCAACGGCCAAGAGTTTTGTCAAAGACTGCAGCTGTAACACGGGTCTCAAATTGAATATCTTTTCGTAGATCGAATTTATCGGCCACATAGTTGATATAGCGAAGAATTTCTGGCTGAGAAGCATAACGTTCAGTCCAATGCCATTCCTCTCGTAATTTATCGCTGAATGAATACGAGTATTGCAAACTCTCGATATCACAACGTGCTCCAGGATAACAATTCCAGTACCATGTACCACCAACCCCATCAGCTTTCTCGAAAACGTATGCTGAAATTCCAAGTTCTCGTAAACGATGCAACATGAATAATCCAGAGAATCCAGCTCCGATGATGACTGCATCGATCATCTTAGTAGCATTTGCTTCATCATCCAAGTTTTGTTGCGATTCAGGCATGTTTTCAGTGTCGCACGAATGTACTGATAGGCAGAGTTAATTCAACAGAATACAATGCACAGAAATATACAAAAATGGGTGTCGATCTCACCTTTTTTTTCGTCGTGGCTAGGACAGAAATGAAAAAAAGCTTCATACTCGAATAATAAGAGAGAAAGGTTCGTACACTCGCATTATCATCTCCTCATCGACGCAATATCAACACACGATAAAATTATCATATATTCTCCACTGTGTATACGTTCTCTTTTGATATTTTGTATTCTGTTTTATGTTCGTATTTTGTAATTGAAGTCATGATGTTATATAAGTCATATAGATGAAAGAGTAAATGTGAGGATTTGTATTACTTATAAGTCTTCTAACTCAATATCTTGTGGTGTGGATGTGTGGGTGTGGATGAAAAAAAGATCCACATCCACCCCACGTCCCACACCTTCAAGTGAAGTTAGCAGTGGATTCGAATTTTCTTGCTGATATTCGCTCTGGATCTTAGCTTGAGCCTCTAACTGGTTGGGCTATATAGAGAGTTCAATTCTGCACCGAATGATGACATTCTCGAGGATTCATCAGACTCAAAAAAACTGAGTTCTACCGTATTCCCGCTTTGAATGTAGGCGATTTCAGATTTTTCGAGTCATTTCCCGTTTCCCACTCCCACAATTCTGCTGTAAAATTGCCACCCTCAGCAGGATGCGTAGGCCGAAATGATTGGCATAGGTAGTTTATTTCAAAAAAAACGCCATAAAATAACCGAATCAGTTACATTTTCCTCCGAGATTTTCTCAAAACGTCACATAGCATACTTCCGTGTCCATTGACGTGCAATTTTATTATATTTATCACGATTGAATCGATAGAGATGTGCAGCTTCAGGATTAGCTGGATCATCGGTATTTGGATCGTCCAATAGCGAACAAATTGATAATAATAGCTTGGAGATTGTGAGAGCGCGTTGATTTCCATGAATTTCCATGCATATATTACCATTTGGAAATACATTTGGATGAAATACTTTCGTGGTAAATTTAAAGTTCGCTCGTTTAATTGGATAATCTACTGGAAAATTTATATCAAGAAAGAAAATACCTCCTTGATAAGGAGTACCAGGAGGACCCAATATTGTAGCTTGCCAACGAAACATATCATCTGGATAATATGGTCTTGCATTAACATACTCTGGTGTATCTTGTTTTATATCTTTCAGTTCTTTCATGATGCATGCTAAGGCCATTGGTGTTCTTCTGAAATGAGATTCAAAAGGCAATTTCTGCTAAAAATTTTATGATTATGGGCTCAGTAGAAATCAATTTTAACTTAGTCTTCTCTTGCAAAATTAGAGGTCGACTCAAAGCTTCTCATGTAAAAACTTATGTAAATTTAACGCCTTAACAAAATTTAATGTTACCTTTTTGACGATGAAAACGCGTTAAAAATATGTTTTTTAACGAAGTCTTACGCATTATTTCTTGTTAAAACGAAATCAATCTAAAGTAGCTTGTCAGACTTCGTTAAAAAGCATATTTTTTATGCATTTTCACGATCAAAAAAGTAACATTAAAATTTTTTAAATCGTTTAATTTGTATAAATTTTTACATGAGTTACAGCATCTCTATTTATATCCTATAGAGACGATAAAATTACGAATCAATTTTCTACTTGTTGTGTAACTGTTAGTGTGTAAAGAGAGAACGGCCGTCAGGCTTAGCTCAGCTAACTTCCTATGTGTTAGTGTTGAAGATCTGCCGAAAGTTGGATCACAATAAAAGAGCACATGTTGATAGAGGTATTTTTGTTGCTGATAATAACAGGTTTTGAGTTCGTTATGTCACAGCCCGAAAGAAAACCTTGTTGACTAATAACAAGCATAGGATATTAACTTTCGATCAGACTATCTCGCATTCTGATAAAATACTATGAAAAAACCTCACGAAATATCTTCTTCTTGTACACATTTTGAAAGATGACGACAGTGTTAGTTGTTTTTTTACTCTTTGACGATAAGTTTCTTTTAACAGAGCGAAAAAAGCATAGCGATAAAGTGAAATTTTATGTTCTTTTTTTTTATAGTGTTAAAGAAATAATAAGCCATAGAAAGCAATTGAAATTAAGTGTTTGTTAAGGTGCAAATACCAGTGTGGTGTTATTTTAATTATAAGATGAGGAAAAAAGAGGAAAAAGTAAACAAGAGATGTGTAAAAGGAACAAAGACAGTTGTTTACGTGACAAGTGAAGATATATATATATATGTATGCATCAGTAAGAAAAGAAAAGAAAAGGAACGAAACAGAAAGAGAAAAGAAAAGAAAGAAAACATATGATTGTGTATATAATATACAGATCATAACACTCCCCCTGGTTAGCGAAAAAAAAAAACCTTTTTTTTTTTTTTTGTTTACAACAAAATAATGAGAAGGTAATATAAAATAAAAAAAAAATGAAATGGAAGAGTAAGAAAGAATGATAACAAATATAATCAGACAATGACGAATATGAAAAGGAATAAATAAGTAATGGATCAGATTATGTGATATGACAAACTCGTTAAGTAAAATTCGTAAAATTCATCGGAGGTTAAAGATGTGTTTGAAAGGCGAAAATTCCGTAAATATAGTAAATGAAAAGATAGAATAAATTAGTATGATTAAAGCATAAACGTGAATTATGATAATAAGAAGTATAATCAATCAAAGAAATTTAGATAAATAATGAAAATAAATTAATGTTGAATTAAATAATGTAATAATATCACCAACAAATATCCTATTGCATGTCATCAACTTAATTAAATCAAAATAAAATCATTTATTGTATCAAATAAATGTAAGATTCCCGTTTGTTCAAATATATGAATTAAAACGAGATATTGTAAATGAAATGTTTGTATAAGATCCTTTTTTTTTTTTTTTTTTTGTTATAAAATTATTCTAAATAATGTTTTATTTATTGAATTATATAATCATGTAATATAGTTAAATTAATTCAATCAATTTTTTAAATGGTTAAAATCTTATTTTGAGGAAATGTTTGTTGTTTGTAATGACATTATTTGTTTAATTATTCATTAATGGACGTAAATCATTAACGTGAATTTGTGATACTGATTTAGTATTAATATCTTCAACCCAGTATATTGGATGTTGTTTTCTAATAATAATTTTGGTGTTAATTGAAAATCTCGGGTCTAATTTTGATCTGTTAGTAAAATTTCGAATTAACACAGTTGTTCCTATATTATATTCAGGATTTTTACGATGACGATCATAACGAGTTTTTGATTGTTGTTGTTGTTTCAAAATATTTTGTTTCACTGTAACACGATAAAGTTCTAAATTCCGAACCAATTGTTGAAAATAATCATTTGGATGAGGAAATATAAATGATGTTGGTGGATGATCAATTGGAAGATTTGCTTTTCGACCAAATGTAAGCTCAAATGGTGACATATTCGTTGTTGAATGAATACCTGTATTATAAGCAAATACAATTGAACATAAATATTCATCCCAATTGTTTAATTCAGCATCAGTTAATTTGGCAAGTTGAGTAACAAATGTTGCATTAAAACGTTCGACTTGACCATTGCTTTGCGGATTGTAAGGTGTGCAAAATATATGATGATAACCAAGTAATTTTGAGAGTGAGTGCATCAATTGATTTTTGAAACTGGTACCTTGATCAGAAATAATTGCTTTAGGTACACCATAACGACATATAAATTCTTTAAAAATAGCATTTGCAGTAACAGACGCAGAGCATACAGGTAGTGCTATTGCAGTAATAAATTTCGTATAATAATCAGTGAGACATAAAACATATCGATTATCTTGTGGTGTTGTAGGAAATGGTCCACAAAAATCTATTCCGACTAATTGATTAGGTCCATCAGGAGGTGTAATTGGTTGAAGAAAACCTGGACGTTTTTGTCTACTAACATTGTATGCTTGACAAACAACACAAGATTTTATATAATTAATGATGAAATTTTTCATATTTGGCCACCAGAATTGTTGACGAATTTTTTCTAATGTTCTTCGAACACCAAAATGACCACCAACTAAAGGGTTATCATGATAAGAAAATAATAATGCATTTAACATAGAATTTGGAACATAAATTAATTTTCGTTTAATTTTTCCACGTGTATAAGATAATAATTTATATAAAATACCATTTTGATATTCAAATGATATATTTGGACGTTGTTTTAAATCATCAATAACTTTTTGATTTTGTGAATCATTCTGTTGATGTTCTTTTAATTTGATAATATCAAAATGTTCATTGACATCATGTAATTTATTAAAGTCATGAGAAGATAATGATGAAAAATTTAAAGAATTTTGTTGTTGTGATGAAAATGGAGGTGAATCAATATTGCGGGACATAAGTTTAGCTTTTGATCGAGTAACAACTGCACCAATTAATTGAACGGAAGATGAAGATTTATCTTTTGTAAATCCTAATCCATAATCATAATCAAGTAATTCATCATCAGATGGAATTGGATGTCGAGAAAGATAATCTGGTAAACAATTGTATTTTCCTTGAACATGAATAATTTGTTGAATATTAAATTCTTGAAGTAATAAAGATATTTTGTCGACATGTTTATTTGATATTTTTTTGTGCATCATATGACAAAGAGGACAATTATCAGTATAAATAATGATATTACGACCAAGTAAAAAAGATTTCATTCTAGTAATGCATTTAAATATTGCTAATGCTTCAAGTTCCATTGGATGATAACGTGTTTGAGCAGGAGATAATAATTCAGAATGATAATAAAGAACTTTTTTAACATTATTAATCTCCTGATAAAGAACACCACCTAAACCAACTTTAGATGCATCTGTTGATAATAAAACTGGTTGTGTATCATCAGGAAAATTTAGAAAAAGTGGAGTTGATGTTAATAATTGTTTTAATTCACGAAAAGATTTCGATTGTTCAGGTCCCCATTTAAATTTATGTCGATTAGATTTTGTCAGATTAGTAATTGCATGTATAGGAGCTGCTACTGATGAAAAATTAGAAATAAATTTCCTATACCAAGAAAGAGCTCTAATAAAACGGTTAGCTTCAGATAAACTTCGAGGTTCTGGTAATGAAATAATTGATTTAATTTTTTCAGGTAAGGGACTAACAGTTGTTGATGTAATAATATGTCCTAAATATTCAATTTGTTCTTTAGCTATTTCACATTTTGTTGGATTTAGTATTAAATTATGTAATTATAAAGCTTTCAATACTTGTTCTAAATGATTTAGATGTTGATTAAAATCATTTGAGAATATCACTATATCATCCAGATAAACTAAACAAAATTGAGAATAAGCACCTAGTACATTGTTCATTATTCGTTGAAAACTTGGAGGTGAATTTCGAAGACCTTGAGGAAGTACCAACCATTCAAATAGACCAAAAGGAGTTATAAATGCTGTTTTATAACGATCTTTTTCATCAATTGGTAATTGCCAAAAACCAGACTTGAGATCAAACTTGGTGAAATAACGATAACCAGCACCTAAAGTTTGAAGAGTAACCTCCATGTTGGGAAGAGGATAATTATCTTTGATGGTGACGGAATTTAACTTCTTGTAATCTATAACTAATCGCCAAGTTTTATCTTTCTTTTTTACTAATAATGCTGGAGCTGCATACGATGATTGAGATTTACGAATAAGACCAGCTTCTAATAATTTATTAATAATTAAACGCATTTCAGCAATTGATGTTGGATTACTAGGATAACATTTAGAAACAGGTGGAGTGTGTGGATATGTTTCAATAACATGTGATAATTTTGTTTGTGCAACTGTATATTTGCTTGTATCAAAAGTAGATTGAAATTTAAATAATAACGATTGAATTGAATCATGTTGAATTTGTTCAACAATATGAAGTAATAAATTTGAAATTGTTTGTTGAATTGTAGGAAGTGGTGGTGGAATGGTGATTGTATTTATTTTTTGAGATGATGAATTAAATGAATTAGATATAATTGAATTTTCATTATTTGCAACACTATAAGATTGTGGATTATTATATATTGCCATTCCAATAATTATTCCTTTACGTAAATAACGTGGACAATTTGATGGATTAATAACAGTTAATAATGTTGAATAATTTTTTATATTTAATGATGCATGTGGTGAATAAATAGAGGTTTTTTGAATAAAATTGAATGATGGACGAAATGATAAAATTGCTGTTGAAATATTAACATTAACAGGAATTTGTTGTTCAGATTTAGGTAATATTTTTATAGAACGTGATAATTTAACAGGAAAATCAACGAGTGTTGTTTCAGTATTAATTGGTATAACAATCTGTTGACTATCAAATTTAAATAAAATTGATTTTTTCTTTGGTTGAATATCTAAATCATATTTTGTAAGATAATCCATACCAAGAATAAGATTAGTACATAATTTTTTTGTAATAAATGCTGGTATAGATGTTATAATATCACCAATATTAATATTCAAATGAATAATTCCTGTGACTATAAAATAAGTTAATCCATCAGCCATAAAAAATTTTTGATGTCCAATATCAGAAAATTTATATTGATTAAAAAATTTTAAACATTTTTCATTAATAAACGAATATTGTGCACCAGTATCGATTAGAATTTTCATTTGTTTGTTGTTGACATAAGTAGTAATATAAATAAGAGAAGGTGTAGATGGATGTTGAGATGAATTGGCGAAATCAATACCATCAATCATTGACTTCGCTTTCCGAAACGGTGACAATGACGAGTTATATGATCTAAAGAATCACAATTAGAACAACGTTAAAATGGTTGTTGTTGTTTAAAATTATTGTTTCGATATATTTTATGATTAAGTGATGATGATGAATAATTTGATGATGGTTTAGCATTGGATGATGAATTAAATGAATTGGAAGATTGATTTCGATCGTGTGAATTATAAGAAGATGATTTAAAAATTCGATTTAAATAATGATGTTGGTTATTATTAT